CCCCGGGCCGGGAGGGGTCGGCCAGAGCGGGGTTTTCGCCCCCCTCCCCCAGCCCGCAGTCCCTTAGGAGAACCGCGCTCAGCCCGGTTCTGGAGGGCGTCTGTGACCCTGCAGGCAGACCTGGGGCTTTCACTTCATATTATTGGGGGCAGCGGGAGGAGTATCCGGAGCTGGTCTCCACTGGGCGGCGGGTTTCCTAGGTCTCCACGGATTGATGACCCGTCGGTCTGCTTCGCCGCCAGCGCCGCGCTCCAGGCCCGACGCCTGCCCCGCGGCCCGAGGGAAAGTGCCTTTGGTTGCGGGCTCTCCCGCGGCAGGCCAGTGGGAGCCGAGAGGAAGGGTCATCGCGGCAGCCGCGTTCTGAAGACGGGTTTTGACAAATCCAGCCAACTTTCCGGTTACTTCCCGTAACGCTCAACCCCCCGGGTTGGCGCCTGGAGGCCCCCAGGGCTTCACTCCCCAGATGACTGAGCAGTTGCGAAGTGCGGCCGCGGGGTTTGGGCTCCCATTACCGCGTCTCCAGTGAGGGTACTGGGGACTCGAGTGCTCGGATGGGGGTCCTGGTTCCCTGCAGCTCCTGAAGGCGGGGCTGGGAATCCGGAATCCCCGCCCGCGGGCCCTTCTCTGCCACTGGGTCTGGGTGGGAGTGCAAGTGGGACCCACCAGACGCAAGTCGGGCGCGCAGGAGGGTGTAGGATTCCCCTCCCCCACTTAGGAGCCCCGCGGACTGCGTAGGACCCCGCTACAGCCTGGATCAAAATGGGCCACCTCCGGGTGGCTCCGGGTCCCTAGCCTGACGGCTCTGCGGCCTCCTGGTTTCCCTTCCTGGGAGGCCTCTGCTGCCTGAAAATCCCACGAGGACACCTGTGGCGCTCGTTTTTTTTTTTTTTTAATAAAAATAGCCCAACTTGCCACTTCTTTTAGGTCTGTGGGGAGGAGGCAGCTGGGGAGCTAACAGTGACCTACAGAAAGGACTCCGCTACTCAAGCATGGTGGGCAGTGGTGACCAAACTGTGGCCAGATCCCAAACCCAAGTTTCAGGTTGGGTTTTGGAAATCCCTGCCCTCCTTGTAAGGGACAATAGTGGCATACTTTGTTATAAGTTGGAATTCCTTATTGAGCACTCACTTGGGGTGCATAGTCCCTTCCTCCACGGGAAGTAGCATATCCCAGTTTTATAGAAAAAAGAATGGACACTCCGAGATCAATAACTTGTCCAAATCACAGGGATAGTAAGTGCAAAATTTGAATTCTGCTTTGTCTGATCTCAAAACTACTCATGCTCTTCTTTGCCAGCTCCTCAGGGCCTTTTATTTTTAAAATTTCTATTTATTTATTTTTAAATCCAAGCCTGTCCCCTGCTTTGAGTTTTCCAAATTTCCAATTGGTCATGGTTTGTACCAAAGATGCACAGAGCAATGACTTTAATGTTAATGCCAGGAATTATGAGTATTAGACTGCAAATTTCATCGGTTGTGACCAGACAACATGAAATAGAAGTGGAAACATGAAATTCTTGTTTCTGATAATGCTGTTTACTTCTAGCCACATTCTTAGGAGTCTATCACCCTTCTGCATCAAGCTGATATGGAATGAGTAAAATTCAGTTTCCTGGATTTCCTACTTGCTGGTTAAATACCTGAGAGCAGCATTAAAGAATATGCTTTACTAGCTGGTTCCTGAGGTGATTTTCCTGTAAGTTAAAGTTGGAGAACTGTACCTTTTAAAGTTGGGGGACAAGGGCACCCTCCATACATGTTGGAAATGCAAATGCTTATTGGGGAAGGGGAAAAATGGGAACCTCTAGAAAAACATCCAGTTTGATTAAGCAGAATTTACCAAGAGTCTGGAGATGTTAGATGTTAGACTCAGGGAGACCCCTAAAGCATACAGGCTTCCCTCTACATCTTCTAGGAAAACCCTGTCAACTAATAGAAGACATGGTTCCAGGTTGGCAGCACAGCAGTACTGGTCAGCAGTATCACTGCACTGCCAAACTGTGCCGCCAACCTGTGCCCCTTTAGGTTCCAAGCCCATGAAGTAACCAAACTAAATAAGAACTGCTCATGCCATAACCTGGTTTCACCTTTTGTTATGCATAGTACTTTTTATTCTCCCTTTCAATTTTCCCTTTTTTCTTTCTTTCCTCCTCTCTTTTGTGTGTGTATGTGTGTGTTCACATGCACGTGCTTGTGTGTGTGAGTGTGTGTGTGTGTGTGTGTGTGTGTGTGACTGGATTAAAATTCTGTGGGCATCCATCCAGAAAAACCATGACAGGTTTCTGAGAGGACACAGTGGAGGACGGAAGCCCTGGGATGGAAATTTCAGAAAAGCAGCTGCTGCTCCCAGAAAAACTAAAGCTGTGTGTCCACTGGCAAAGAAAGGAGGGAACTCAGTCAATTATTTGGATAATCTGAGGGTCTGTACCGCACAGTGCACATGAGCACACAGGGCTGCTCCAGGTGAAAGTATTTTATTCTCTTGATGAAATTGCCTCCCTCCCCAGTGCCCTTCCTACCCCCACATCACTGACTGCAGGTGCAGACAGACCCAGAATAGAACTGTAGAGCTGGAAGGATTTTCAGAGATCATCTATTCCATAACCTTCATCTGACTTGACAGATGAGGAAAATGAGACTGGAAAGACAAAGCAACTTGTTAAGGATTAGACAACTAGTTAGTGGGGGGCTCTGTGCTACACTCCTGATCTCCTGACTTAAAGCTACACTCCAGCCTCCATCCAGCTTCCAAGAGCCCAAACAGGAGGAATTTGTTCTTTGAGATTGGGCAAAATGATGCCCATATCAGTGAATTAAATTACAGCCTGAGCCTTGGTCTGCTTTGTACATTTCCTGCCTCTGCCCACTTGCTTCCTGTCATGGCCCCAGAAGGCAGGATTCAAGATGGTACAGAGTGCTTTCCTTTTCCATCTTTCCTTTTTTATCTCAGAAAGAAGTAGGAGGTGAAACATGCTAGCAGAAAATTTAAGATCCTCAGACTGAGAGTGGTTTGGGGACAGCATACTTAATGTCTGAGACATCATTTTAAAAAGAACTGCATCAGAGGAGATGATACAACCAGAAATTAAGTCTCTCTAACAGTGACTCAGGGTACCTGACGGTAATGACTAATGAAAAGCAGGAATGCCTGGCATCAATACAGGCATTTATCTTCCATCAAAGATGCCAATGGTGGTGAATTATCTAATTGTTATTCTTTCTAATTTGCAGAAAATAGTTGGGGTACTGGAGAAGTTACTGAAATAACCAAGGTTGAATACCCAAATTAAAAACACAGCCTCACATCCAAATAGTTCTTCCCCATTTTAGCTAAAGAGATTAATAGCTAGTGTAATAGAGATATAAATTCCAAATGAGTCTAAGCAATCCCATTGGACTCCATTTCTCAACTTTGCCATTTGTACCAAGAAGCTAAGTTCTATCAATTATGTAAGTATCAATTTGCATATGAAGCATCATACAATTTTAAAGGGCCTTCAAGTGATACAACTCGCTAATTCTATAGGCTCACTTATTCAAGAAACCAAACAAATGTGGGTTCTTGAGTCAGCCACACTGCCTGATTTATATATTTGTATCCCAGCTCAATTACTTGCTAGGTTCACACTTCCAGCCTCAGTAACCTATCTGCAAAATAGGCTTGACTCTAGTATCTATGAGGCTGCCATGCCAATGTAAGTAAAGTGCTTAGAACGTGCCTGGCACATAGTGAACACTGTCAATAAATATTTGCTATGAATCTTTTTATCTGGATATTTCCCATGGGGCCAGTCCTGTATAGATAGGACCAGAGATACCAACAAGGAACCAAGAGCCAGGCAGGATACTGACTGGTCCAAGTTGTAGGAGGCAAAGCTTACTGGCTTCCTGATGATTCAATATTGTATAACAGTAATAAGAAACCTAGTAATGATTAAGTATTGATTGCCATTATTCATTTAACTCCAATAACAACTCTTGGAGAAAAAGAACAGTTATGTATGCCTACTGTTTGGGATTAAGAATGGCTAATAATTCTTTTCCATTTCTCCCATCAAGAACTACAAGCCATTTACCCTTTGCTGAATTTGGAAGAGGGTAAATAGCTTGTAGTTCTTCATGGGAGGAATGGAAAAGTTTTGCAACACGCTTTGATCAATGAAATGAGTTGGAAGTGACCTCATGCTAATTCTGGGTCTAGGCTTAAAGAGGTCAGGGAGATTCTGTTCTTCATAGAGTCCAGCTCTTCTGCTGTAAGGTAGGCAGCCTAGACTACTAAAGGAAAAGAGTCTACATGGAAAATTGAAGGGCTGTGCCTAATGATACCAATTTCCAGCCAAGCAAGTGAGGCCATCTTGATGTTCCAGCCCTAGCTTAACTTTTCTCTCCATGGCCTTAAGAGGGCTCCCAACAATAGCAGGTGAATCTAGGATGAACCATCCATGCTGAGCCCTATCCAAACTGCAGAACTTAAAAAAAAAAAATGTGGTGGTTATTGTTTCAAGCCACTAAGGTTTGGATGGGTTTGTTATGTAGCAATAGGTAACTGAAACCCATACTATGGATGAGAAACTAGGCTCAGAAATGCTAAGCATTGTCACATGGTATCCCAGCTAGGAAACAGTCAGTACTGCATGGATGTAAACCCAAGACTATCTGGTGCTAA